CCGCCGCCGCCGCCGCCGCTGCGGGCGAACTGCTCAAGTTCGGCGTGCAGGCGCTGCTGGCGGCGCGGCCCTTCCATAGCCACTTGGGTACGTGCGGGGCAGCTGCCGGGCTCGGCGGGAGGGAGCGAGCCGCGCCGCCTCGAGGACGCGTCTCCGCTAGCTGCGCACAGGCCCCGAGGCCGTTCCCTGGGCGCGCTCTCGGGTGGAGGAGCAGAGGGTGCGGGCACCGGACAGCGCAGAAGCCAGGTCTCGTGCCCGCGGGCCTTCACTAGCGCCCTGAGGTCTCCAGCCGGGAGGACCGGGACTCGAGGCCGCATTCCCCTCGCGGGCGCAGAACTAGATTGCTAATGCCAGACCTCGGGTGAAAGAGGGCTCAGAACGAGGGCTCCTGGGCCTTCTGGTTCTGGGCTGGTCGGGGAAAGTCTGGCCCGGCGGGGAACTGAACCCTGAGGAATTCCAGAGGCTAGTGTCCCCGAGTGCTGTGTTGGAGCTTACGCCAGTCTTAGCCTGGAGCCTCCTGGAGGCCACTGCTCTGCCACAGAAAGGACACCTCCCAGGCCCACACGCCCCCCCTTGTCTGGGGACAAGAGCGTCCACATGCCCCCCCCTTGTCTGGGGACAAGAGTGTGGCTCTGGTCACTGCCTGATGCTCCTTCCTCTTCCAGGCCGGCTGGGCCTCTGTGAGTCTTAGCCTCTTGCTCAGGGCCTGTTTGTTTTCTCTGTCCTTGGCCGGGGCCTGCCTGGCCAGTGCCCTCTCCACCATCCTTCTTGCTGGTCCCTTGTCTTTCATTACCCCTCGGTGGTGGCGGTCCTTTCTCTGTGGGGCCAGTCTGCCTTCCGGCTCCACCTTCACAGAGGGTAGCTTCTTCCCTCTACCCCCACCCTTCACATTTGCTTCCCACTTATCTGGAGCCTTTTAAAGATAGTAGGGTTAGCACCCATTCCCCAGTAGATGCGTGTCCCTGAGCCCCCACCTCAGCCTCTTCCCTGTACCAGCTGAACCTCCAGCCAGTGCCCCACCTTCCCTGGGACAGCAGGCGCAGTTTGTTCGTTTTGAGTGAGCCTCAGATGCAGCCTCTGCACGGAGCCTTTCGCCCTCAGCTGCTAGTAGTTCGTTTGAAGCGGGCAAAACAAAAATCATTTTAGGACGAATGAACATAGAAATATCTTCACGGGGAAGGATCTAAACAGAGAGAACAGGAAGGACAGTTTTCTATTTTTCTGGGTGCTGTGGAAGTGCCAGGAAGCGAGCCCCACCCCTGCTGACCACCAGGCCGCGTGGCTGTGCCGCCAGAGGAGCAGACATGCTCAATGTGTTGCCCCTAATGCAGCCTGCCGATTTGGCTGGGGCAAGCGCTCATCTTTCTAATTCGGTGCCATTTCTCCTTGTTTTCCCTTTTCTGTGAAAGACACTAGTGAGGGAGAGAACTGCGAACTTGTTCATTGCATACCCCAGACCTCTGGGGCAGCTGGGGCCTGGGGGATGCCCAGGGCAGCCCGGGAGTCCTCTGTGCCTCCCCCACCCCCCATGCTGGCTTTGAAGAGGCTCCCTCTAGGTGGCTGGCAGACTTTGGCTGAGGGTACGTATTGGGTGATACTGGCCAGGCATGCGTTCACTTGGATCCCCACTTTCTCCCCTCAGCTGTGTTGAAGGCCGATCAGGCAGGGGTGTTTAAGTTCCCGTTGGCGCCACTGGGCTGCTCTGGCCTGGGCTCGGCGCTGCTGGCAGCGGGGCCTGGGCTTCCTGGTGCCCCTGGCACACCGCACCTGCCACTGGAACTGCAGCTTCGAGGGAAGCTGGAGGCAACGGGCGCTGGGGAGCCGGGCACCAAAGCCAAGAAGGGGCGTCGGAGCCGCACCGTGTTCACCGAGCTGCAGCTGATGGGTCTAGAGAAACGCTTTGAGAAGCAGAAGTACCTCTCCACGCCTGACAGGTAGCAAGGGACCAGGCTGAGTGCAGCGGGTGGCAGGAGTGTCCAGCTGCTTGTTTGTTTGCTGAAGGTGTCCCTGCTTTTTCCAGAATAGATCTCGCTGAGTCTCTGGGACTGAGCCAGTTGCAGGTGAAGACCTGGTACCAGAATCGGAGGATGAAGTGGAAGAAAATAGTGAGTGTACCCCATCAGCTACCCCTCCCTTGCGAAGCCCTTGTGCCCCTAAGAACTGCTCTTCTCTAGACTTGGAAACTCTTGCCTGACTCCCCCATCTCCCTTAGTGCTGGGGCTCACAGGGCCTGTTCTGTTCTCTCTGTCCCTCTTGGAAACCCGAGTTCAGTCCACATTCCTTTATTCTCCACCGCATCTTTCAGTGTGGCCTTGAGCCCTTCTATCCAATAGAGTTCAAACAAATCAAATGATGGCCATCCGTCTCCTCCCCTCCCCCCAGTCTTGGTTGGCCTCTTTGGGCCCTTCAGTCCTTCACCCACGTCTGGTGGGCAGCATCTCAGCTGACTGGGTGCTGACCGGGTGCTCACTGTCCTGCCGGTCCTGCCACACAGGTGCTGCAGGGCGGTGGCCTGGAGTCTCCCACCAAGCCGAAGGGGCGGCCCAAGAAGAACTCCATTCCCACAAGCGAGCAGCTGACCGAGCAGGAGCGCGCCAAGGAGGCAGAGAAGCCAGCCGAGGCTCCTGGAGACGCCAGCGACAGGAGCCGCGAGGACTGAGCCTGGCAGACAGCGTGGGCATAGGGGCTCCAGCAGGCCAGAGCCCCCCTCAGCCCTCCGGAAGCCACAAGCGGCCGCACCGTTTGTTTTCTAAACTTTTTTTTACTACTCTGAATGCGGACAGTTAGGGGCCAAACAAAGAAGGACACAGCGGTTCTGAAGCCAAACCCAGGCCCCAGTGCGTGCTGCCGCTGTAGCCTGGGAGACTGGCGTCCAGCGCTGTGGAAGGCCCTCTCCTCCGGAGCTCCTCTGCGCTGGGCGCTCCCCGCGCACTCACGCCCTGCTCCTCTCCCGCACTCCCCGCCGTCGCGGCCCCAGGGACCGGAAGCCGCCAAGCACACGCCCAGCTTCCGGGGCGTCGGGAACCGTGAAGCCGGGCACCGGCTCCGTTATGGCCCCGGCCCCCAGGTGGCCAGGTGGAACCCGGACAGCGGGGGCGGCTTAGTCCTCCGATGTCGCCGGGGCCGCTACCCCTCTCTTGCGAAGACGGTGATTTTTTTTCCCCAATAAACTATTTTATGACACAGTGGGGCTTGTTGAGAGGATTTCTGAATCTGCAAGGGGGTTGGTGGTGCTAAGGGTAGGTGATGGGAGTGTAGTAGAGGGAAGGTCAGAGGGACGTTTGGTGGCAGCTGAAACACCCTCTTCTGAGTCAGGCTCTGACCTGGGGGTGGAGGGGGGCGGGTAGGAGTGGGTACTCCGAATCCTGGGAATCATCTCCACTCTGAGCTTCAGGAGCCATAGAGGAGCCAGTCTGAACACTCTCCAAGCCCTCAGGTCACTCTGCAGTGGAAGTGGCCTGAGGCTGAGAACCTCCTTCAGTTATTGGGTCAACTTCCGGGGACTTGGAGGACTGCCTGTGAGGTCTTTGAGGAGGCTAAAGCCATCCCCTCCTGAGATAGACATGAAGCTAGGACTGCAGGTCTGTACTAGACTCTGACACCACCAGCAGTGCCTGACTATCAATTCCTGATTCAGGGTAGTGAGAATACCCCACTGCTAGCAGATAGGGCAGCCCTATCCAGGTGCTGCGTGGCCGGAAGGCTTCGGTGGTTTTCTGTCCAGTCTAGGCTGACTTGGGAGTATGCCTGTGTGTTCCTGTTCTTGCACGTTGTACAGCCAAGGGTATGGACTGGAGAGGCTACTTTTCTCATTAAAGGTCAGAGAGATGTCACCTTGGCCCTTCTGAGTCCCAAGCAGAACCAGGATTCCAAATCCCATCCTTCCATACACTCATACTAGGGAAATAATAAGGAGCCACCTATTCAGATGCAGGTGTTACACTCCAGAAAGTGAAAATGATAGCTAAGAGCCTCCACCTGTGGCCTTTTCAAATCATAACTTGATTGCTCCTTCCCAAAAGCTGTGCTTAATTTCTGGTTCCCTGGCATCTCATGCCTCAGTTTAAGGTTAGGAGAAGTGAGAAGTGGTTTCTCAGGCAACCCTAACACACCCCAGCCTAACAAATCTCTGGGAAATCGGCTCCTGCCGGAGGCTCTGAATTCCGCTTTGCAAACAGCTCCCTGACTATTTGCACACCAGTGTCCTTTGAGGAGATTGCGAAAACCTGCCAGTCTCTGAACTCACTGAGGAATGGGTCATCAGTGTATGCTGTGCTTCCTAACTCCTTCAGGCCCCGTGGTTACCTCCATGGGCTCAATCTCGGTCCTCCCTTAACCTCCCCGCTCCAATTCAGGCTAGCCATTCTGTTTAATGCCCTCCATTTCAAGAGAAGGAAAATGATGGTGGTCCCAGTTTTGCTGTGTTGGGCTGGGAGTGGGAATGTCTGAGATTCCAACTACAGCCTTTGTCAACTCTGGGATTTTAGAAGAAAGGAGGGGAGAAACAAGGAGAGAAAGCCGTCTAATCTGTACCCCTGGCAATCCCATCAGGAGCCTCAGATTTTACTAAATCTGAGGAATGCCATCATGGGCAGATTACCCTGTTTTCTATGGCTTCTTCCCTGGTAGGTCCTCAACTCAACTGGACCAAGGGACCAAGAAAGACCAGGACACAAGGGATATAGTGGGTGTGGGAGGGGAAGATTTGTCCTGCAAATCCCGTGTCAGCACGTACCGAGCCCTACTATTCCGGCAAGTACAGCTTCTTCCAGGCACAGATGGGGAACCTGACTTGGGCACTGCTGTTGTGAAGTCAGCAGTAGGTCAGTGGGGGGATCAGGGCCCCAAACGAAGGGGTCCAGATTCCAGGGGGGCGGAGGTGGGGTGGGTGGGAGGGGTTTTGTCATTTCCTGGCTGCTGGGCTCCTATACTCCTCAGGGAACTGGGTGATTGCAACCGATCTAGACTCGAGTCGAGATCGGAGCGGCCAACGGTGGCGGGCTGCAGGGTACCAGCCACCAGCCACGTCGTGGCAACTCAGGTTTTCCTTGTTTAGGGGAGTCCCAGTGAAACCCACAGAAGCACTTCTCTTGCCGCCCCGGGACAAGTGAAGGCGCCAGGGCAGACGATTTGCCGTCGATTCCGAAGCTTCCCGAGGATCGCAGTTCGCAGAGTCGGGGCCCTTAGGCAAGGGCCATTCATAAAGGTGATGCGGTGCCAGGCTGCGCGCCGGGACCGGAGTTCTTGGGTGCTCGGCCTAGGTGCCGCCTCTTCCAGTCCATCCGAGGCGGAGACCTCCTCTCCACCCGGGCAGCAACCGTGCCAAGCCTTACTCCAGGCCCCGGGCTTTGGGCTTCTGGACCGACTGTCCCCTTCGCCCCCTCCCCCACCTCCGCCGCACAAATCTCCTCGCTGCCTCTAGGAAGGTCCTGGGAAACAAAACCCAGAGACTGCGAGCTAACAAGGTCGCGGCTGCAACTGGGAGCGTGGGGGCCAGTGGCCAGCGGGAGGGAGCCGGCTCCTGCGTCTCGCGAGAGAGAGCGGCGGCTGGGGGTGGTGGGCTGGGGGTTGGGTTAGGAGGTTGGGTGTGCGGGCGTGTGCTGGAGGGGGAGCAGCAGTAGCGGGGCCCGAGTGGCAGCCGGGACCCTTTGGACTGGACGGGCCCGGGGTGATGCAAGGGCAGAGCGGGATCAGGGATTTATATGGCTGCAGTGCTGCGGGTTAGCGAAGTTTGCAGTTAAGGCGCTTTTGTCCCTGGAGGGGGAAGGCGGGGAGGCGGCCCTCTGGCTGTAACTGCGACTTTGGGGGAGGATTGGCTGAAGGAACCCGCCGGGATTGCAACGCGATTCTGAGACCCGGGTCCTGAGCAAGCCGTCGGTGTAGGCGGGAACCTACCTCCAGTTGGCGCGCGGCTCGGCGCTGCGCGAAGCGTTTTCAGCGAGGATTGATGTCGGTGAGGTTGGCCTGGGAGCCTCAGATCAGCCGGCGCGGGGCCGGCATTGCCAGGCTGCGACAGGGAGACCAGGAGCGGGGCTATCCCCCACCTCCCAACTTTATAAAGAATAATAATAACGGTTACTCTGGTTTGCTCCTTTTCTCGGTTCTGAATTCCCCGGGAAGGTTACTGGTGGGAAGTCATATACTGAAGGAGACAAACTCGGACACCCGGCAACTTGGGGGCTTCGGGGGTGGGGGCGGTATGTGTGATTCAAGACTGGAGTAGGACCGGCTGGCCGACTTCTCAGCCTGAAGTGAGCGCCCCTGCAAGGCAATTCTGCGGAACTCCAGGGTCGGAGGAGAAATCAGGCAGCTTCTTCTTTTTCCTTTACCCCCTCCTGATTTTGTTTTACACTAAAGAGGACCTCTTGCTTTAGAAGCGACCGGATGCCACCGTAAGTTCTGCATAGGGGACCAGCTGATCACTGGAGCCGGGAGCCGCAGCTCTTAAGACCTCTGCTGATGCAAGTTACTGGGGACAGAGCCAGGCTCAGGAGGATCCCCAGACTGCTCCGTGGGAAGCCAGCTTCTAGCTGGGCGTTGGAGTTCGTTGGGAGCTAACGGAGGTTTTTGGAACACCTTCTCCTCAGCCCCGCCTTGAGGAGCTGAGGAAGCCGGGACTCCCCCTTTGGTGGGTGGGACGGAAAGGTAAGGCGCAGAGGCACACAGATTCAGCTTGGCTCTAGGAAGAAGGTTCCAAAGGTGTGGGTTTGGGAAAGGCTGGCGGTCCTTCTGTTTGAAGTAAACTGGGGTGATCCCCTCAGGACTTCGTAGGGGGCTATCATTTGTGTAATATCACAATTTTCCTCTGTCCTAGTTCTGTATTACTGCATCTCATCCATCCACTTTAAGACAACAGCTTCTGAAATCCAGGCTCAAAAGAACCATTAGGGGTTCCCAGGCACTGTGGACCTGTCTGCAGGATGTGGTTGCCCTGCAGAGTCACCTCACTGGGCAGCGGTGGTCCTTCGCTTCTCAGGCACTGCCTTCCTAGGAGAATGAGATGAAGCTTGTGGGGAGGAGGGAACTTCTGAGAACCCTCCTGGATGGTAACAGAACTAAGGGAACTGGATTCTGATTTAGTTACTCACTGGGCAGAGGCAAGTGGGACAGGCTGTGGGGCCACTTCAGGGTGGTTCTTGATTTTCCTGAGAATTTCCTTTTTATATAAATATAGTAGTGATGTATGATTTTAAAAATCTGCTTAATAGGTCCCAAAGAGATCTTTAAGTAAATATACAATAAAAAATTCCCAGTGGTATAAAATATTGGGTGATGGTTTCATTGGAAAGGTTTCAAATTTTCTTTCTTATTATACTTCAGGAATCTGATATCAGGGACATCATGAATCCCAGGTCTCTGATATTAATCAAGCACATACTTAGCAACTTCATTCACAACAAGCAGTTGTTGATGGCTAATCCTGAGATACAGCCCTCATCCCATTATGACAGACCCATAATGCAAGTATTCCTACATTATGTCCCTTTGAAGATAAAGATAAAGCTCAGAGATGTTAGGCTATTTGCCCAGAGAAACACAGCTGTTAGCAGCAGAATTTGGATTGCTTTGTGGCTCTTCACTGTCTCTTGCCCAGAAATCTCTAGGTGCAGCTTGGAGTGTCCCAGATGCCTTAGGGTATCCAATAGTCTCTAGCTGCATAAAATGAGTCTCA